TTCTGGATGTCTCTCTCCAGCACTTGCCTGTGGTTTTCCCACGTCTCTGTATCATTTTATATTGCTCTCGCTGAATCATTCATTCCTTCTTCTAATCACTCTCTCTTAATAATTCATTATCCCACTGAATCATTAATTCTCCTTCTGAATCATTCATTTTTTCTCTGAATCATTCTCTCGCTGAATTTATTCATTCTCCCTCTGGACCGTTCATTCTTTCTCTGAATCATTCTCTCTATGAATCATTAATTCTCTTTCTGAATTATTCATTCTCTCGCTGAATCATTCTCTCTGAATCATTAATTCGTTCCATTAATCATTCTCTCGCCTCTCACCCATATGAAGGAAGAATACCTGCGTGCTTTTCACATTCTGAATCATTATTAATGGAACCTTTGCTGAAAACCCCCGTTCTTAAGTAATGCATGTATCAAAGCTTTCGCAACTCTGCAAACTGTCTCCTTAAACAGTGCTAATTTGTCCCGTAGAGGCACGGGATGTGTGTTCACAGATCCCACTAAACACCAGGGCTATCCCCAGTGGGAGAGGAGTGCGAAAAGAACTAATAATTATACTACTTGTTTTATAAAAAAAAGATGCAGATGTAGCAATCACTGCTGCGCCAATGAGCAACGTTGAGATTGCTTCGTAGTGGCGTGAGATTGGGGTTGGGTGGCACGGGCGGTGGTTGTGAGGTTTTTCCGGTTCAGTGTCCTACAGCGGACCGCGTGACACACGGAGCGAGACCCACGGCGTTTCATGGGCTGCTCTCGCGAATGACACCAACATGACGCGCGGTTGAACAGGACACACCCGCTGCTGGTGAGACGTACAGTGAGGGAAAAAAGTATTTGATCCCCTGCTGATTTTGTACGTTTGCCCACTGACAAAGAAATGATCAGTCTATAATTTTAATGGTAGGTTTATTTGAACAGCGAGAGACAGAATTACAACAAAAACATCCAGAAAAACGCATGTCAAAAATGTTATGAATTGATAAGCATTTTAATGAGGGAAAAAAAGTATTTGACCCCTCTGGAAAACATGACTTAGTACTTGGTGGCAAAACCCTTGTTGGCAATCACAGAGGTCAGACGTTTATTGTAGATGGCCACCAGGTTTGCACACATCTCAGGAGGGATTTTGTCCCACTCCTCTTTGCAGATCTTCTCCAAGTCATTAAGCTTTCGAGGCTGACGTTTGGCAACTCGAACCTTCAGCTCCCTCCACAGATTTTCTATGAGATTAAGGTCTGGAGACTGGCTAGGCCACTCCAGGACCTTAATGTGCTTCTTCTTGAGCCACTCCTTTTTGCATTGGCCGTGTGTTTTAGGTGAAGTTGTCCTGTCCCCTTAGAAGAAAAACATCCCCAAAGCATAATGTTTCCACCTCCATGTTTGACGGTGGGGATGGTGTTCTTGGGGTCATAGGCAGCATTCCTCCTCCTCCTCCAAACACGGCGAGTTGAGTTGATGCCAAAGAGCTCCATTTTGGTCTCATCTGACCACAACACTTTCACCCAGTTGTCCTCTGAATCATTCAAATGTTCATTGGCAAACTTCAGACGGACATGTATATGTGCTTCCTTGAGCAGGGGGACCTTGCGGGCGCTGCAGGATTTCAGTCCTTCACGGTGTAGTGTGTTACCAATTGTTTTCTTGGTGACTATGGTCCCAGCTGCCTTGAGATCATTGACAAGATCCTCCCGTGTAGTACTGGGCTGATTCCTCACCGTTTTCATGATCATTGCAACTCCACGAGGTGAGATCTTGCATGGAGCCCCAGGCCGAGGGAGATTGACAGTTCTTTTGTGTTTCTTCCATTTGCGAATAATCATACCAACTGTTGTCACCTTCTCACCAAGCTGCTTGGCAATGGTCTTGTAGCCCATTCCAGCCTTGTGTAGGTCTACAATCTTGTCCCTGACATCCTTGGAGAGCTCTTTGGTCTTGGCCATGGTGGAGAGTTTGTAATCTGATTGATTGATTGCTTCTGTGGACAGGAGTCTTTTATACAGGTAACAAGCTGAGATTAGGAGCACTCCCTTTAAGAGTATGCTCCTCATCTCAGCTCGTCACCTGTATAAAATACACCTGGGAGCCAGAAATCTTTCTTATTGAGAGGGGGTCAAATACTTATTTCCCTCATTAAAATGCAAATCAATTTACAACATTTTTGCCATGCGTTTTTCTGGATTGTGTTGTTATTCTGTCTCTCACTGTTCAAATAAACGCACCATTCAAATTATAGACTGATCATTTCTTTGTCAGTGGGCAAACGTACAAAATCAGCAGGGGATCAAATACTTTTTTCCCTCACTGTAACATTTTAGACATGCGTTTTTCTGGATTTTGTTGTTATTCTGTCTCTCACTGTTCAAATAAACCTACCATTAAAATTATAGACTGATCATTTTTTTTGTCACTGGGCAAACATAGAAAATCAGCAGGGGATCAAATACTTTTTTCCCTCACTGTAACATTTTGACACGTGTTTTTCTGGATTTTTTTGTTGTTATTCTGTATCTCACTGTTCAAATAAACCTAACATTAAAATAATAGACTGATCATTTCTTTGTCAGTGGGCAAACGTACAAAATCAGCAGGGGATCAAATACTTTTTTCCCTCACTGTAACATTTTTGACATGCGTTTTTCTGGATTTTGTTGTTGTTATTCTGTCTCTCACTGTTCAAATAAACCTACCATTAAAATTATAGACTGATCATTTCTTTGTCAGTGGGCAAACGTTCAAAATCAGCAGGGGATCAAATACTTTTTCCCTCACTGTATACACCCTGGTCATTATCCGTTTACACGTCCAAGTTAACTTATATCAGCTCAAGCCTCTCTTAAACCACGTGACTTCTGTGTGCTGTTCCATGCAACCTTGAGGCCCCCGTGTAGCCTCTTCCACCTTCATCCTGACCTCTCCTGACCCCTCTACTCCCGTTTCTCCGTTCCTTTCCCATCCTTCCCATCTTACTCCCAATGCTTTCACATCCTTCCCATCTTACTCCCCATGCTTCCCATCCTTCCCATCTTACTCCCCATGCTTTCACACCCTTCCCATATTACTCCCCATGCTTTGCCATCCTTCCCATCTTACTCCCCATGCTTTGCCATCCTTCCCATCTTACTCCCCATGCTTTCACACCCTTCCCATCTCACTCCCCATGCTTTCTCATCCTTCCCATATTACTCCCCATGCTTTCCCATCCTTCCCATATTACTCCCCATGCTTCCCATCCTTCCCATCTCACTCCCCATGCTTTCCCATCCTTCCCATATTACTCCCCATGCTTTCCCATCCTTCCCATATTACTCCCCATGCTTCCCATCCTTCCCATCTCACTCCCCATGCTTTGCCATCCTTCCCATCTCACTCCCCATGCTTTCTCATCCTTCCCATCTTACTCCCCATGCTTTCCCATCCTTCCCATGTTACTCCCCATGCTTCCCATCCTTCCCATATTACTCTCCATACTTTTGCATCCTTCCCATCTTACTCCCCATGCTTTCACATCCTTCCCATCTCACTCCCCATGCTTTCCCATCCTTCCCATCTTGATTCCCATGCTTTCTCATCGCTCGTACCCCTTTACCCATTACATTTTATTTCTCCCCCCCGCCCCCCCCCCCCCCCCCCCCCCCCCCCCCCCCATTGCATTTATGTCCTTGACTCGACGCCACATTCCCCACGGTGGTGCCACCGGTACAACGTTTTACGACTGCAATAGTCTCTTTCATATGTCTCGAACTTTTCTGCAACGATCAGTCGACAAATAGTCTGCTGTAACCGACTTACGCTCCGGAGAACGTGATTGACGTTTGTGCAATTCCTGCTGTTTCGTCGGTGTACTTTATTGTTGGTGCACCGTGGTGGCGAGATGTTAACTACCTCGCCTGATATGCAGGAGGTTCGTGCGTTCGATCCCGACCCTGACGCATGTTTTATTTGGAGTTTGCGTGTCTCTCTCTCCGTGGTTGCGTGGATTTATTCTCCAGTTCCTCCGGGTTTTCCCTCCACATTTATAATCAACATCACGTGTTCACAAGATTCGGCTGATATAAATTTCCACGCGATAAGCAACTTCGTTGAGCTATCCTTTGTTGCTAGGTCGCTTGTAAAAGAGACATGCAGAGACCAGTGGGGCTTACCTGGTCAAATAAAAATTAGTCAAATTAAAAATAGTAGTTAAATAGTTGTATTATTTGGTATTCATTTTCGTTTTTGCTGCTGCCATTACTTGTGTTGACTCAGGTCACTCTTGCGAAACGAGACTCCATCCTGGTCTTTGGAGTTCTCGCATTGCTGGAACTAAACCAACTTGAACCTTGAACCACCGTGAGACTGTGGAAGTCGTAGCCGGCGCTGACGCTGCCTGCCTGCACGAACCCAGCTCGGGGCACAGAACCCGCCAAGTCCGGAGAGCCGATCGGGGTCACGCGCTCAGCGCTCATTAAGTTTCAACGCGGTTGGAACAGTCAACTTGGTGTTAAACGATAACACCAACAACAACGTGCATCACTTCGTCATTCCATTTGCCGGATCAAGGCTTACCCCCACGCCGTGTCGTGGGGGTAAGCCTTGATCCGATGGGGGGGGGGGGGGGGTGGTGCTACAGGACCGGTTCCGGTATCGTTCGCCGCTGATGTTGCCGTGGCTCGGACTCAAACTTGGGTCAGGCTCTTCAAATGCCTCCGCCGACGTCTCTGGACTCAATGGGCTCTGGGAGTTGATGCCACCGTGCAAGCGGTGGTTCTCCTGCAATGCCTCCTAGTCCCAGGCCGTGTCGAATGGGCATGGGATGGTAGCATCTCTCCCTCCGGGCAGATTCATCGCTGGCTTCTCCCACTGCCCACTTCTCCCACCGGTATCGATGCTCGGATAGCACGACATTTATGTAATGTATATGTAATACGTATGCATGTGTATATGATATGTACTGCATTGCTAAAGTGTCTGCGTGCGTGAGAGTATTCGATGGACGCCGCTCACCGTTGGCGTAGGGGTTGATGGGCTTCTTGTTGGTCATAACGCGCGCCGTGGCGTTGTTTACCTGCGGACACACGCACGCACGCACACACGCACACAAACACACGCACGCAAACACACGGGCACACATGCACCCACATGCACGCAGATGAGCCGGCGACAACAATTGCCCGAGCCTTGCGGTCCTCTGTGTATCAAGGTGTTACGGGTCACTTAATGAATGTTGACCCGTGGGAAGAAACCGGAGCAGCCGGATAAAACCCACGCGTGCGAGGGGGAGACGCTCTATCCCGCACAAAACGGAACGGGTGGAGTCTACATTTTTTTACGATTCCACCGTCTCCTGCTCCAGAGCCACGGTACGGCACCGCATGGAGGCCCACGGGGCAAGGGAGTCTCGCAACATTTGTGCGACCATCCACCAGACATCGCTGCCTCCGCGTCGCCGGATCACAGGCAGCCACGTACAGCGGCATAGCCGCCACCACCGCCATCACCACCACCACTGCCACCACCCGCTCTGCTCATTCAAATCGCGCGGGCGTCCCGTGCGGGAACGACGCCACCGTCCCCTGCACACTTCAAGGGCAGGGAGCTAGCACGCGCGCGTGCGCGTAACGCGTGTGCGGAACACTGTTGGTGGAGTGGGGGGCACAGGTGGTGCATCTGGCAATCAACTCAGTCAGTCAACCCACAACACCCTGGGTCTGTGTCGTTACCTTCTCCTGCCAGAAGGGTGCCTTCCACGATTATACGTGACAGCCACAATGTGCACCTAGCCTGGCACATCAGTGAACCCACAATGTCCTGGATCTGTCCCGTGACCTCCTCCTGCCAGAAGTGAGCCCTCCACGCGTATACGTGACGGCTTACACATTGAAACCCTGACGCTGTCACAGAGATGGCCTAAGCTCTTGCGCGTGACGCCAAGGGAACTTTAACGTCCACTGTGTAGTGAATCAGAAGGCTGCGTAGTGTTATTACTATTGTGACACCCGCAGTCATAACCAGGGCGGCCGCTGGATTCGAACCGTTGAGCCTCTGCAACAGAACCAGCGAAAGCGCGCTACCTCTGGGCTGCGTAACCGCCGGATAAAAAAAATAATCGACATTCGTCAACAACAGTGGTGGCCTTAAAATGAATAAATAAAATCTGCGACTTTTTGCCCAATGGCCCTTCTTCATAGCCCGATAATACACTCGGGCCAAACAACAAAACATTGTAATATATTTACAAAAGCACTCATAAGCGAATCAAAATACGTTTGAAATAGAAATAAGAAACAACAACAACAACAGCTACAACTAAAACGTGGAGTTTATTGCGTGGAGCGGAGGGGTGGCAGCACCTCGATTTTCCTTCCCTCCACGATGCTGCCATGTAGCTTCTCTCTCGCCCGCTCCGCGTCCCCGCTGTTCTCAAATGTCACGAAGCCGAAGCCCTGGATTGCACGCGCACACACACACACACACACGGACAAAGATGCCCCGTATAGCCTTCAACAAACTCTTGGAGCGAGTGCTGTTCGCGAGCACCTATTGAGACCCGGACGGAACACGAATGGGGTGGGTTTACAACTCCACTCCCGGCCGCCTTTGTCTCCCCAGTGCCCATGTTTTATGTACCCCGCGCTAAGTACTGATTCGTAAACCAGAGTTGAGCTAGGGGAGGTCCAGGACCGCTTCAGATAGTCGCCGTTGGTGTTGGTGGGCCGCGTGCGGCAATCGAACTCGAGGTGGCCCCGGGGTTCGCTTGGCGCAGCGCGCTAACCGCTGCGCCGCCGCTCCCCAAGCGCGCACCAAGACAAAAGCTCCACGCGGACACGACCTCGCCTGGCACGGCGCGCACGCGTCCGTGACTCTGAACGCGCGAGGCGTCGCTCGTGCCCACGGGCTCTGACGCGCAACACGTTCCCACCATCTGATCAGCGCGATGATGAATGACTCGCGCGCGGTCAAGGCAGCGGCGGCAGAGAAAGAAATATCGACGGGGACGGGTAGAGAGGGGGGTAGGGGGCAGGTTGGTGTAAGAAGTCAACGCCGCGGCATTGTCTCGCGGTGGCGTGAGGCCAGAGGGACTCGGTGGGGGGTGGGGGGGGGCTGTTGTTGGGTAATTGTGCCGTGGACTGCATAATTCCGTAATCCACAGGTTTCGGCTGCCGCGATTAATATTTAATATCATCAACAGCAGCCATGGTCAATCTACTTCTGGATGAAGGTCCCAACGAGCAGCCGCCATCTCTTGCGGTCGTGCGATGCAATAATCTATCGAAGCACCCGCACACACGAGCTCGCGTCCTCAATCGCTCCATCTCCTCGATGCTGACCGATCACCGATCCATGGGTGACCAATAGCACACCGGGAGGCATAGTGGAGTGGCACACGTCCCCCAGTCGTTCCACAGTGCGGCTGCGCGCCACTGGACAGGAACTGTTTCTGCGCCGTTCCTGAACTGGCACGGCCCGGTACCCAGTTCTCCCCAGTGCTCGTGCAAACGACGCACGCGGTTGCTCCGTGCTATAGGCGAGCGGCGCCTTGTTGTGCTGTTGACAGTTGAACTCCCCACGGGGTCTTTCCCCAGCCCCAACCAATCACACGGAGTCCTGGGCAGTTCTCACGGTGTGCGCACCGCGGTGCAGCGTGGCCCTGTGATTTATTTGCACGCGAAAGATTCCCACCACTGCCTACACTCGCACCGGCACTCACCTCCACTCCCCTTCTCTCTCTCTCTCTCCTTCCCCCTATCTCTCTCTCGGTCTTTCTGTGCAAATTTATCATTGATTGGCAAAACTCCTGCTACCTCCGGCAACCCCTTTACTTCAATTATCACTCAAAAGAACAGAACTATTTAGGAGAGCGAGGGGGAAAATGATGAGAGATTAGAGACAAGAGATTTTATTTTAATGGAGAAAGTTTTTCTTTTTTTCCTGGGGATGTCTAGCGTATCCCTCCCTCCACAGCTCACCCTTTCATCCCGCTACTCTCCGAGTTACGAGCGTTACGGAGGCCCCGAAATTCACGATTGGGAAAGAAAACACGACGTCGTCCGGGAATGAGACGTGCTGAGATGTCCGTCTCTCCAAGTCTTATTGCGATGGGCCGGGGGGGGGGGGGGATATTTCCCAGGACAGCTCCCGCAAACAGAGGAAGGTCCTGGGGAATCCAGGACAGGTGGCAAGCGGGGGCTGTGTGCACTGGGGGGTGCGGCAAGATCCCAGGATCTATTCTTTGCATTCAACGAGAGCGGGAATCTAAAGCGTTTGGAGAGGCCCAGCAGTGGGGCGGTGAGTGCGGGATTCATTGCGGACTGGTGCGCGTGGTGCGTTTCGTGCGCGTGGTAGTGCGCGCGCGTGTATGTGTGCGTGTGTGTGTGTGCGTGTGGGGTGCGTGCGTGGGCATGCAGTATTTGTAAATGAATTCTCACAGCAACAGAAAACGCCATGAAACAGGTGGGGGCGGGGGGGGGGGTGCGTGGGGGTGGCGTTGGGGGGGGGCACGGTGAGACGAGCGGGACCGCCGGGGGGAAGGAGCGACTGAGATGTGGGGGGGGGGGGGGGGGGATGAAGCAGGAGGAGGCGGTGGTAATGAACAGAAGGCCCCCTCCCTCTACCTCCCAACCCACCAATTTTATGATTGTATATTTTTTTGTTGGTCCGCACAATTGCCTTGGTCCCCCATGCAGCAGCAGTGGAACGACTCATCAGAAAGAGAGGTTCCCACAGGAAAATGATTGATTTGCAGGAAAATTAACAGCGTTCCCATGCCACCTATCCCTCCCTCCGCCTCCTATACCGCCACCACCGCCACCATCATCATCACAATCACCACCATCATCATCATCAGCACCACCATTCCGACTAGTACCACGCCCATCACGACTGCCACTACTAATAGCACTATTATTGCCTCCACTATCATCATCACCACCACTACCATCATAACCACCATCAACACCATCGCCACGACCACTGCCATGACCACAATCATCACCAATACCGCCATTACGGCCAACAACACTACCTTCAACCTCGTCATCATAAGCAGCATTACCACTAACACCACCACCACCACCATCAGCACGATCATCACCATCATCATGACCACCACAATTATCACCACCACCACCACCACCACGATGCTCACCACCATCATCATCACCACCACTACCACAACTATCACCACCACCATCATCACAATCACTACTAACAGCATCACCACTGCGTATGCTTCCTCTATCACCACCACCACCAAACCACCACTATCATCACCGCTATAATCACCACCATTATCATCATGAACACCATCAACAATGCCACCATCACCACCAAAATCACGACCACTATCATCACCACCATCAACCACCACTACCATCATCGCCACGTTCACCATCAGACCCATCGCCACCACCCCAACCACCAACACCAACATCACCATCAACATCTCTGCCACCACCACCACCACCACCACCACAACAACCACAACCACATGTGGTCGTGAACGCCACTCTGAGACTCGGCGCACCCACGGGGGGTGATGGGGAGGGAGCTCCGCAGGTGCCGCGCTAATTTAGTAAAAACCCCATGCAGCATTTATGAGATGTCACTTCATTTATGAGATGTCGTTTCCACTTTGTTCTCCGCCGCTTGCGGAACACCTGGCCGCGTGATTGGTTTCCATCATCATCATCATCGCCGTCGTCGTCGTCACAATCATCATCGTCATCATCATCATCAGTCACGTTCGCTCCTGCGTCTTTCACTCGCGGCGCTCGTGACGGTCGTGACACACGCGCGCACACTCACGCGCGCAAAATACAAAGATGCCCGTATAGCCTTAGCAGTCTGTTGGGGCAAGTGCTGTTAGCGAGCACCTATGAAGGCCGGAACGGCACGCGCGGTGGTTGGGTGACCAACGTCACGCTCGACCGCCTTTGTCTCCCCCAGTGATGACGTCCACACGCCGCACCGGGTGCTCATTTTATAGGCTGAGTCAGACCCGGGGCTGTTTCCAGCGGTCGGGTCGCTCCTGATTGTTCGCCGTGTGGCGCGTGGCTCACCCACCTTGGAACCCCTCTCGTTGAAGATGATTTCCACGTCCAAGATTTTCCCAAATTGCTGCACGTCCACAACAACAAAAAACAAAAAATCGCCAGACGATGAGATCACAAACAACAACTACACAAACAACAACAACAACACATTTTACACGAACCCGGCTTTGGCGAACCCTTAGCTGGAGCTCGGAATTCCGGAGCGTGCTCCTGCAGGAGAAGGAGGAGGAGGGGGGGGGGGGGTGTCACTCATTCCTCACAATAATTTTCGACGGGAACATTTTTCCGGCCCCCTATTTCTCGCAACTATTTTGGCCAAAACAACAACAACAACACCACCACCACCACCACAGCTCAAAAAAACAATTCCAGCGCCCGAAACAACGGCACAGCGACGGCAACGCGGCGCAACGGCCGAGCGAGCGAGCGAGCGCTCCCAGTTAGGAGCTAGCGCCCCCCCCCACCCCCCCCCATCCCATTAAAAGAGTCCAGGATATAATAACGCGCCACTCGCAACCATCCCAGCCACCTCCGTCCGCACCCTCCGTGGCGACGGCGCAATAAGCGCGGAGTGGGGGAACGCAATGCAATATCACGCTCCCGGTTGCGTGACCTTTAATCATCTGCCCCAGACCCCGACCGCGGCGGCCTTAATAACGAGATGACCCCCCACCCCCACCCCCGCTGGTGAACATCTGCACCACCCCCCTCTACCCACCCCACCTCCCCACCGGTGGCCTCTGTGATGGCCACCGCGGTCCCCTACTCCCCTACCCACCCCCCTCCCCCTGTGTAGCCCTAACAGACTGTTGGGGTAAGCGCCGTTAGCGAGCACCATTGAAGGCAGGCATCGCACACGAGGTGGTGGTGTGGCCAGAACCACGCCCGATCGCCTTTGTCTCCCCAGCGGCGATGTTTACGCGTGGCACCAGTTAGACATTTTTGGCTGAATCTACCTAGGGGAGGCCCGGGACCGGGTTCAGATGTTCGTCACTGGTGTTAGCCGCGAGCGGGAATTAAACTCAGGTCCCCGGGGTTGTAGTGCAGCGCGCTAACCGCACCACTACCGCTCCCCAAATTGACACACACACACGCACTGACACTCACTCACTCACACATTCACGAACACGCACACTCACTCGGACACTCTCACGCACACTAACTCACTCACTCACAAATACACTCACTTACACACACAAGACAAAGATCCCCCGTATAGCCTGAACAGACTTGGGGAAAGTGTTGTAAGAGGGAACCTATGAAGGCCGGCACAGCACACGAAGGGGTTGGGGACCAGCTCCACGCCCGGCTGCCTTTGTCTCCCTAGTGGCGATGTTTACACATCGCGCCAGGTACTCATTTGAGGTTGAGTCGACCTAAGGGAGGCCCAGGACCGCTTCAGATAATCCTCACTAGTGTTGGCTGCTCACACAAACACACACACACGCGCACTCACACTAACTCACACACCCTCACATACACTCACAGATTAACTCACACACTCACACACACGCACTCACACACTCTCACATACACTCACAGACTAACTCACACACACTCACACACACTCACACACTAGCTCACACACACTCACATACACTCACACATATACACTCTCACATAAACTCACAGACTAACTCACACACTCACACACACGCACTCACACACTCTCACATACACTCACAGATTAACTCACACACACGCACTCACACACTCTCACATACACTCACACACTAGCTCACACACACTCACATACACTCACACATATACACTCTCACATAAACTCACAGACTAACTCACACACTCACACACACGCACTCACACACTCTCACATACACTCACAGACTAACTCACACACACTCACACACTCACATACACTCACACATACACACTCTCACATACACTCACAGACTAACTCACACACACTCACACACTAACTCACACACTCTCACATACACTCACACATACACACTCTCACATACACTCACAGACTAACTCACACACACACATACACACACTCACACACACGGGGTCCTCATCGCCATCCTCGTTCTTCAAAACGTTGCGAAAACTCATCCATCGCGGCTCACGCTGCTGCTTTGTCCATTTCGCCAATTTGATGGGAGGGGGGGCTTTTGTCTTCGTCCAATTGTGCTCCCGGTAGCTGGTCGCGAGCTCCGGGGTCGATTCGGAACTCCCAGTTCATTTAATAAGCGGCGCTTGACAACGCGCGCTGGAAGAAGGCCCCACGAAGGGAGATATCCATCTCCCGCTAGGGTCCGTTTCACGTGACCGTGACTCGTTCCCTCCTCCGGCTGCCGCTCCATCGCCAGTCTCGACCATCGGCCACCATCGGCAGGTAACTTCCACGTTTCTCGCCGCTGGCGAGCGCTCCCCGCTCCTCGTGCCGTCTCGCGGTTGCAGGACTTCGAAGCGCGCACCTCCGCGTTTGATTTTCTGTGCGCACTTTCACGTCTATCAATCGTCTCTCGCTGAGTTGCGGAAGTTGGACACCCTCGTCGCCGGCGATTTTAACGATCGGCTCGCGTATTTTCCTGCACCGATTTTCTACAGAATGTGCATTTTCGGCTTGCTTGCATCCCAGGTCTCAATTGCACTCCCACAGGCCTTCCTTCCACCCAAGGTCTCCTTTGTGAAATGGATGTTAATCATGACAGCCTCGTGCTAGCGTACGAATTAACGTGCACATTGAATCTCCCCCGTTGATCGACAGGGCATGAGGGTAGAGCAAAGGCTTGTATCTTTCATGGGTGGAACCGAATTCGCTTCTTGCAGACGCTCCCGGCACGCGGAGCGAAACCTCGGACTTCGTGCCGAACGGCAACGCTCGTCACAACCCACACGATATGTCGGTGAGACGTACAGAAACAGCCTCCCAACGCCTGTGCAATCCGTATCGCCACGGTGGCCTTGCCGGGCAGTGGTGGCAAGCGGCGAGGGTTGGTGTTGGATCACTGCACGGATATTTCGAAGTTCCCTTCCCGTGGGCGTCGAGGAGGAGCCATACCCCTGGCTCCCCGGGTGAAAACGGTACAGCAAGTGGACTAATTGCCATCTGTGTCCATCTGCACGGTGGGAGATTGAGTTTTTCGCCCTCGCGCGGGGCGCGGGTTTTCTCGAGCTGTTCCGGTTCGCTCCCACAAAGTGAATAATAAACACACATAATCGTTCCTTGGCCTGATAGCATCGTCAAATGAATAAATAAACGCAAACGATGTGTCAGGGGCCTCTTGGTAAAGAGCGCTACAACTCAGCGCGGCGCTCTCCTGAGAATCAAGTAAATGATGATGACGATGACTTAGAGAGAGAGGGGGGAAGAGGCGACCCCTGGCACATCCTCCCTCGCTAGCTCGCTCGCGTAACCCCTTGCAGTAGACTGGCGACAATAGTATCCATCTCTTCGTTTCGTTAGGCATTGTTCTAAATGGAATGCGTTCTGATTGCCTTTGCATAGCGCTGGGAAAACTCTTCTATTGGGCGGCCACGCGCTCCCCGCTGCCCCAGGTCGGTCCGGAGCCGCCCTGATCACGTTTGCCGTTCCGCACTCTCCACGAAAGCGGCGAACGATGAAGCGACAGGGCTGGGGAGGGGGTGGCTGTGGCTGCGGCGAGATCGCGTTCTCCAGACGACTTGTTGGCTGTTCGCCTCTCTCTCTCTCTGTGGGTGTCCGCGCCTTTGCGTTGTCGTCCAAATAGTGAAAGAACAAAAAAGTGAACTCCGCAAAATGAATCAGTTTCCGCGTCCGCAAAGGTTTGCGCGTGTACCTGGGGTGGCGGTGGGGGGGGGGGTCTGGAGAGGGGGGGGGCTCCCCTCGAGCGCGGGCACCAGAAAGGGCAGGTAACCAAAATCAGGAGTGGATTGCACTGCGACATTGGACGTGAGAATTGAACAGCTGTGTTAAAGGACCATGCATTGCAATGCGGGGCCAGGACAGACTTGTGAATACAAGTCGCCCAGCCCCCCCCTCCACCCCCCTTGTCAATTCTGCATGATGAATGCTGCCGGCACAAAGCTGTGTCAGTCATGGGGGGGGGGCGGGGGGTGATGTTTGACCAAACTTCACCACGCTGGTCAGTGCGGATTGGTGAAGGGAGTGGCGTGGCGGCCTAGAACGGGTTCCGATATCATACCTGATAACAGCGCAGGGTCGCGTATCGAACTCAGGTGGCTCGTGTCTACAGCGCTGTGCACTAATCCACGTGGCCACCGCTCCCTGAACTCTCGAGACGCAAGCACAGCGACTGCAAGCGGGACGCACACTGACTCCACCGCGAGCCGCACTGCTCAGCGAGACCCAACCACCGCCCTATCCACGCCCATAGACCAACACCAAGGCCCAGCCATGAACTCGACCCTTTGACCCCAACCATAACCGTGACCCCCATCCCTGCCGCGAAGCTCTGCTTGTTCTCCTGCTCACGTGCCGTGATCGCTCTTCGCTCTGTCCGTTCCCTCCCTGTCCTCCGGCTCTCACTTACGGTGGCGAGATGTTAACAACCTCGGCTGGCATGCAAGGAGGAGGCGGGTTCGATCCCGACCTTGACGTCCGCTCTGTAATTGGCGTTTTCGTGTCTCTCTCCCCGTGGTCACTGCGTGGATTTTTCTCCGGGGACCTCCGTTTTTTCCCCCCTCCACATTTAGAATGGACGTCACGCGTTCAGAGTTTATTTTCGATGCCGTGAATGTCCACGTGATAATAAGCCACTTCGTAGAGCTATCATTTGTGATAGCTCAACGAAATGAAACGTAGCTATGTAGCTCAGTGTGCCCTTACCTGATGAAATAACAAAAAAACATTCAGTTTAGATTCTTTCCGCTACCCCTGCCACGCCATCGACACCGACCGGCGCTCGCTGAAACCTTTCGCGACAGAACGACAGAAATAAAATATTCACCGAGTCGGGGATACTGACCCCAAACATCTGCCGGAGGTCGGGGTCTCGGAAGCGGAAAGGGATGTTGGAGATGTGCAGGCGCTTGGGCTGAGGCTTCATCTCTCCTCCCTCCCCTAGGGCGGCTGGGTGGTGTAGGGGGGAGCATTCAGTCTCTTCCGTCTGTTTGAATGGGAGTGGGGGGTGGGGGGGGTAGGGGAGAGAGGGAGGAGGGAGAGATGGTGGGGAGTAGGGGAGAAGAGGAGGAGGGAGCAGCAGAGAGAGGAGAGGGAAGGGGAGAGAGAAGGAGGGGAGGTGGTGGGAGAGGAGAGACGAGGAGTGGTAGGGAGGAGCAGGGAGAGGATGGGATCAGGCGAGAGGAGAGGAAGAAGGGAGGCCGAGAGGAAAGTAGCTTGGAAGGGAAGGGATGAGAAAGGGCGAGGGAAGAGGATAGAGAAAGTGAGGAAGTGGGGAGAGGAGGGGGAGAGGAGGAGGAGAGAAGGGGGAGAGGAGGGGGAGAGGAAGGGAGAGGGGGTGGGGCAAGAGCAGAAGGGGCATCGATGAAGGTTACAGAAGCCAGAGCGAGGCTTGGGTTTGGGGTTAAAGTGGAGGGGGACGACGGTTTTGGGGGGGGGGGGGTGTTGGACGAAGAAACCGAAGGAAATGTCAACTTAAAAATAAGTATGACTGACTAGAGACGATTGAATGGGACTGAGAGGCGATGACATATGGGCACTCTCCCTCTCTCACTCACACTCACTCAACACAAAGATCCCCCGTATAGCCTGAACAGACTGTTGGGGCAAGTGTTGTTAGCGAGCGCCTACGAAAGCCGGACAAGGTACACGAGAGGGTGGGTGGCCAGCATCACGCCCGGCTACTACGGCTGATTCTACACCACCACCGTAATCATCATCAAGACCACCGAAACCACTCCACTATTGTCATGCCCGACATCACCACTTGCGAGAATTGTACCCACCTCGCCGGGTGTCGAATCGAACCCACCGCTACAAACACACACACAGACAAAGACCCACCAGATAGCTTTTGACAGCACCTATGGAGGCCGGCACGGCACGCAAGAAGGTTAGTGGCCAACACCACGCCCGGTCGCCTTTGTCTCCCTCGTGGCGATGTTTACACACCGCACCAGGTGCTCATTTGAGGCCCTGGACCGGTTCAGATAATCGCCACTGGCGTTAGCCGCGAACGGGAATCGAACTCGGGTTGTCGGGTTCGTAGGGCAGTAGCAGCGCTAACCGCTGCGCTACCGCTGCGCCATCACTCACTGAGAGAACACGCATCTTCATGAACGCGTGCATTTGCCAATTCACTGCTGGATGAGGAGGAGGGGTGGAGGGGCGCTATGGTGGACGGCAGCGGGATGCATTGATGACACTTATGTCTCACAGCAACACGCGGCCGGGTTCGACTCCGGACTCGGGAAACTTTGCGTGGTGTGGAGTTTGTACATTCTCTCTCCCAACCTCCCCCCTTCTGCGTAGGTTTTCATCCACATTTGTTCGATTTCCTCGCACAGCGAAAACGTTGCAATGTGTCTGGTATCGGTGAAAACATCCCAACGTAAAAAAAAAACCTACATATCAACAATCGTGCTCGACCGCCGATTCGCCGGGTTGCCTACGTACGGTGCGAAAGAAGTTGAACAAGCATACAGCTGGGGTCACAAACACAGTAGCAACACTGCACCACCGCCCCCACCCACCACCCCACTAATGTGACAAGAATTTGTCAGAATCCTGCTGAAAACAATCGTCGAGTGAATCTCTCCCGAGTGAACAAGCGGAAACAAACTCGTAAAATGTGACCACGTGGCAGACTGATATCGAGTTTAAAATAAACACGTGAATAAATGCATGATGATGAATCTGCACGTGGGGCGGGTGCTGTTCGCGAGCAGGTGGCGTGGGCCAGGCCTTCTTTATCTCCCTAGCGAGGATGTTTACACGCAGCGTCGCCTTCTCGTTTAAGTCCGAGCCGCAATAGTTTGGAGTCAAAGCCATTCGTTATGTGCGTGCACCCCTAAACATGCACCTTTGATCGGTATAATATAGAATAGAAAACCAAAATATATTCGGTGAACATGATCATGGTGATGATGGTGATGACGATGGTGATTATTATGGTGATGATGATGTTGGTGATAATATTGGTGATGATGATGATGTTGGTGATGATGATGGTGATGATAATGTTGGTGATGATTATGGTGGTGATGATGATGTTGGTGATAATGTTGGTGATGATGATGTTGGTGATGATGATGATGGTGATGATGATGATGGTGATGATGATGTTAGTGATGATGGTGATGATGATGAACACATGGAAAGCAAGTGCGTGGATGTACAAGTTTTACCCTTGAATCGAGTGAAGTTATCAAAGTTATCGGATGAGGTTGTATACGATATGAGTTTTATCGCGTTGTTTTATAGACTGACTGCCCACAGTGTAAAGGGAAGCCACTTACCAATAACATTGACCAATACCGGTTACTTGCCAACACTAATACTATCTGCTAAACTGGCAGTATTTCTTTCGCACACATGACTGCTGATGAGCGCCCAGGAGGGTGAATACCCTGTCTGGAAGTTTAATCGCTCGAACAAATTCTTGCCCAGGGAGATGGGTTGGGGTTGGCCCCTGTCGCACCCCGGCCGCCTCCTCGCCACAGTGGAACAATCTGACGGCGGTGAGAAGAGAGCGAGGTAGGGAAGCGAATAGGCAAAGGGTGGTGGGGGGGAGGCGATATTGGTTTGTGGAGGCCGGGGCGCAGGAGAGGCGTGCAACGGGGAGAGAGTTATAACAGATATTAAACACACACACACACACAAATAATAATAATAATAAACCCACATGTACAAAGAAAGACAAATATGTCTCGGGTAGCCTTTAATGGGCTGCGGGTGCGAGAGCTGTTTCAGCGAGCACCGATGAATGAAGGCCGGGCCGCGGTGCTACGATCAGCTCGGAGTGGGTGGCCAGCACCACGCCCGACCGCCTTTGTCTCCCGAGTTGCGACGTTTACTCCACACCACACCAGGTACTCATTCGCGTCTGAGTCGGCCTAGGAAGATGCCCAGGACCGGTTCAATTAATCGTCACCGGTATTGGCCGTGAGCGAAAATCGACCTCGGGTCGCCGGATTCATCGCGCAAGGTCGCGAGCCGCTGCACCACCGCCACAGCAACTACACCAAAATCCACGCACGATCACGAAACAGGAACACGCAGCGTGCACACGCGCCGTTACGCAACACGTACAACGCGGCGGGGATAATTAGGGTGCCCGAGAGAGAGAGAGAGAAAGACACAGAGAGCCGAGGAGCTTTGGCAAATACACGGGGGGGGGGGGGGTGTGCGATGACACGGAGTGACGTTTAACGGCGAGCAACGCGAGACCCGCGCCGCGAGTCTCTTCACAGCCGAGCCGCCAGCAGCACACAGAAAGCCGCGATGTCACCGCACACACACTCACACACACACTCACACACCCACGCACACACTCGCACACACACACTCGCACACACAACAACAACAACCGCCATTCGCCACTAAGTGGCGGTGACGTCACCACGACGCTTGTGCCAGGCCATGTGCACCTTGAGGCAACGTGGAGTGTCGAACGCCCGCCGGCAGGAGGTCACGGGGCAGACCCAGGTGCCACGGGTCGACTGACTGAGATGACCGGCTGATGCACCACCTGTGCCCCCTACTGTGCCAACCTGCTGTGCTTTAGCCACCCGGCGCTCCGCTCGTTGTTGTGAGCGTCGCTCCTCCGCCCTCCGTTGTTGTTGGAGGGCGACTACCTCCAACTGCCCAGTAGCGTCCTTCACGAGCCTCCTCCACAGAGGCCGATCTTGACACCGCTGGTACCAGTCATCGGCAAGTCCACTCAGGTCCACGTCCTCCTGTACCACATCACTCCATCTCTTCTCTAGCCCGTGCCGGGCCCGTTTAGCCCCCTCGATCCGGCCGAACAAAAGCTGTTTCGGCATGCGGTGGTTGGGCATGCGGGCTACATGACCCAGCCAACGCAGCCTTGCCTGAAAGAGGAGTTCACCGATGGGACCGTGCCCAGATCTTTCAAGGATTTGTGAGCTCCTCACACAATCCAGCCTGGTTAAACCCAGGATGGATCGTAGGCAGGCCAGCCTAAATGTTTCTAACCGGCGAAGATGTTCCATTAGGGGGGTCCACGTTTCGCAAGTGTAGAGAAGGGAGGGAATGACCGTGGCCGAGAAGACCTGAAGCTTAGTGCGGAGTGACAGACCAGGTAGCTTCCACACACCCCAAGGTGTACAGGGAATGGCTCTGACTCCCGGCTACGTAGTTTTACCCGTGCCCGCTCACCATCATGAAGGTCCTTAATGATCGTGAGCAGAGGGTCAGGTACTCCAAAAGCACGAAGAACAACCCAGAGCCCAGGCCTACTGATGGTATCATAGGCCTTGACCAGGTAAATAAAGCAGAGATGTAGGTCTTGTTGGAATTCCCTACACCTCTGCTGTAGCAGACGGACAGAAAATATAGCATCTGTGCAGGACCGCCCTTTCCTGAAACCGCATTGGGGCTCTGCAAGCCTCTCCTCAGTGTGCCTGGCAAGGCGATGTTGAATAATCCTTGCCAGGACCTTTCCTGGCACACTGAGGAGTGAAATGCCCCTGTAGTTGTTACAGTCTGTGCGGTCCCCCTTCTTAAAGTGGGGGACCACCAGCGCATCCTTCCAATCCTGCGGAACCCATCCAGTGGTCCAGACTGTTGTTATGGTGTCATATAGGGCAGTCTGCGCACAAACGCCACCCTCCCTGAGCATTTCTCTTGCGAGATCATCTCTGCCCGCTGCCTTTCCTGGTCTCAGACTCCGGATCGCCTTCATTACTTCCTCAACAGATGACACCTCAGCCAGCCACTCACAGGGGGTGACTTCTTCCAATATTTGAGGCACCGCAGCCTCAGCAGGGTCATCCTCACTTTGTGCCACGATGTTTTCCTGGCTGAGGGATTTTCCCTCCCCCAGGACCTCACAGAAATGCTCAGCAAATCTGCAAACCTGTTCCTGGGGATCGGAGATTGGATCACCGTTTTTTCCCCTAATGAGGGTAATAGGTGTGGCGCTGCAGGTTACTTTCATGATGGAGTTAAATAGAGATTTGTGAT